AATAAATTAAAAAAAAAACAAAACAAAAAAAACAAAAAAAAACTACACTATGAGATCCCCAACTCAACAAAATGAAACACACACAACACTAGCAGCTGACAAACAAATATTTAAATGTAGTACATAAAATGCTTTACCTCCTTTAATTCTTGTTCTGTTTGAGGGAGTTTCCCTTCTATATCTCTGATTGCAGCTTTCCTTTCTTTGAGAGTTTCAGAAGCTGCAATTAGAGCTTCTTTTGCCTTACTTAATTGAGATACTGCAGTATTATAACGACTGAGGTAGATATCAAGTTCTGACTGGGCCACCTCCATCTTTGAACGTGCTTCATTTACAGATTTGTTGAAACCCATAAGCTCTTTTTCTCGACTCTGTTAAAAAATGAATCCATTAAATCTGAAATAATTTCCAAACCTAAATTGAAATGGAAATTATATATTTTGCAGTCAATTTATTCTATAGGCACAGTATATAAAAATTTTTTTTCACAAGTCAGACAGCTAGTATCGCACACCTAGCCGTCAATGAACAACGTACAGAGAGCTGTGATGTCGTAAGAACTTCATGAGGCAGGGCTCAGTATGCTCATTTTAAAGATTCAAACAAAAAAAGAATAATTCAAAGAAAAAAAATTCTGGGTCTAAAGTTTGTACTACATGTTTTTTCCTTATTACCAGGTATAAGATTTCCCCAGAAAGTCACTGAAAATGTAAACTGAAAATCTTTATGTTATGCAAAAGAATAAATAATGACAGCTGAGGCCCAGCTTTGTATTTAACACTGCAACGAACACAGAACAGCCTGGTATAAATTAAATATACAAATCCATTATCTTTTAAGCATCCTGCCATGAGAGTGACTGCATTATCCATTGCCCTTATCACCTACATGGCCTACTTGTACTTTTGTAATGACAGAACATACCTCTATTTTGAAGCATATTAGTACACATTTATATTCCAAAGTACAATCTATTAAGTTTGTGACCTTTATGCAGTCAATTCAATTACCCTATCTATTAAAATAGGTATTTAACATTCTCAATGCTGTCTATAGGCTACATTGAGAATAAACATGGCCAATGTTATGCTGGGTACTTTTGTTGGGTAGATCATACCTATAAATGTTACAACCATCCTCATACTTGTCATTAATGAAGTAGTAAAATAGTTGAGATTTATAAATTTCTTATTTTCTAAGAACTTTCTGTAAATATTTTTTATTTACTAAGAGTACATACACTCTCTTATTTTGAGAAAGATGAGTTGCAGATCTAAAAACTTGTACAAGAGCAGAGTGAGTGACTTATCTAGGATATAAATCATGAGGATACAAGAGTCACAGCTTTTAACTTACACCATATTAAAGGAAAAAAGGAAATGGTGATAACCTGTGCTTAGTGTATTTCTAGATTTTTTAAGTGGCAGCATGTATTAATTACCAAGAAAATAACTTAGGGGATTCAAGAAGAAAATGTGAGGAGTCTACAGGTTTAAGAATAACCCAACATATTTTCTACTATTACAAATTCTGAATCAGTTTACTATTTCCTTATTTAGGTAGGAAAGCAAAAAAAATAGAAGGGGCATGTAGGTTGAATAGCGTTAGGGATGTTTGATTTAAAGACTAAACATATTCTTTAACATGTTTACTTTTGTGCTACTGCAAATACCACCTTTTTAAAAAAGCCACCAAAATCAACACTGATAAAAAAAAAACCTTACCTCTTTTTCCTTCTGAAGCCCTTGTGTTTCCTGTTTAAGACTATCCATAACTTCCTTTAATTTTTTCTCTTCCTTCTCTTTTTCCTTTTCAAGGGAATTGTTTCTAGTTGTTGTTTCAGTAATGATGTTCTCACTCCTGGCAGGTATACTTTTAAATTCCTCAACCTGAGATCATAAAACAAAGTTACAGAAATGTATTACCTTTAGGATATCAATAATATCAATATTTGACTTAAAAATTACTTCTCAGGATGGTTCAGTGACAATGTATTTAGTGTGCATAAACCCAAAATTAAAATCCCCAGTACTGAAGAAAATAACAGGAAAAAAAAAAAAAAAACAAAAAAAAACCAGAAAAGAAATTCTTACGATTACTGGGTCTTTGCCATTAAATTTGAACTCATTAGTGTTAACAAGTATTTTTTCAATCATTCCCATACTTTTTCTCAGTCGTAGTAAAATCAGTTTTATAAACTGATGTATTTATGAAAAAATACTCTTCCTGGCAAGTTTAAGTCTACCTTTTAAATCTTTTGATTTCAGGCTGTAATTATCCTTCTTTTGCCATAAATATACTCTGATCACCAGGAATTGTAAAAACTATTCTCCATAACATATATCATAATATATTCCAAATTGCACCCCCCCACCTGAATCACAAAATCTGTAATAACTTTACCCCTTCTAAGTCATTATATAGGATTTACACATTATTAATAAGTCACTCAGCTACATTTTATGCCTAGAACCCAATGTCTCTGTAACATTTTACACTTTGTTTAGTCTGTCCAATTTGAAGTTACTCTCAAACTTGTTATTTTTCTTTACTGACTGCTTATTACCAGAAAAATTCAGTATTTCCCAAACTAATACTCATCAAACACTGATTGACCTGTATCAGCTATATGAACACAAAATATTAAGATGTTTTGTAAATGCTTAGAATGTAAAGAAGTTCCTAAATGTAGTGACTGTGTTATATGGAACAAAACTTTTTCAAGAGCTGGATTTGGTTGTTATATCTATTAGTATCTGATCTGATTATTTGAAGAGACTTCCCAAATTACTTGATCATTAAAGTCTTAGCTTGACATAGTAAGCTGTTGTATATTCTTGCACCAGTTAATTTTTTTAAACTTAAGAATAGCTAATTAGTATCTTACTGTAAATTATGAGCTTTCCCATCTTTCGCAGAGGGGGTGGATGAACTCCTGCTCTGACTGTTAGCTTGATTTTGGAGGCAAGTTTTTTTAAATGCCTATTCAAAAATATCTTTTTGAACAATTACTTTGGGAAAAAGAAAATTAACACAAGCACCTAAACAGAAATGACTTGATAAATATTTTCCCAACAGCACATAGCAATACTCAAACACTCAATGCATGCAAGGTTTCCTTGCAGAGGACATTCTATTTTGAGATAAAACACTGAACATTTACAATTCTAATTCACACTTTTTTAAATTTAGGACAGGGTTTATAGGGTCTTACTGTGTAGATTGGACTCTAGTGATCCTCCTGTTTACAGTCTCCCAAGAGCTGGGATTATAGGTGCACACCACCACATCCAGTCTCAATCGCCCTCTCTTCGAGTCCCAGGGCGGGACCAGCAGTGGCAGGCTCTGGGATCAAACTCAGGGCGCTGTGTCTGCCTAAGCAGGGACTTTAATCCACTGAGCTATTTGGCCAGCCCTTTGTTTGCTTTTTTAAATAAGGTCTTGCCAAGTAGTTCAGGCTGGCCCTGAATCTATGGTAATCCCCTGCCTCAACCTCACAAGTGCTGGCATTACAAGAGTATGCTACTATGCCCAGCCCCAATTCATCCCCTTAAGGCAACAATGACAAATACATTTAAAAAAAGTAGTAATAAATGGATGTGATATTGACATATGAAATTTTCAGGATTTTTAAATAGCACATACCTTTTCTCTTTCTTTTTGAAGTTGTTTCTCCAGTTTTTTGCCTTTACTAGTAGCATGCTTCAATTTTTCCCTAACTTGAACATCTTCCAAATCCACCTGTGTAAATTTTTCTTTATTCTCTTCAATGAATTTTGTAATTTTATTGAGTTTCCTAGCAAGGCAAGTAACATACTAGTTACTATTTTGAATAGTAAATTATTTTAAAATCATGTATATACTCTATGGGACATTTTTCTATAAATATCTCCAAGCTTTTATTAGATAGGACTGTAAAATTATCCCTTTAACATTTCCCAAAGTCTTTAAAATTTTTCATTATAATTTTTTGTTGTTGTTGCTTGTTCAAGATGAAAGGGAATACATTTTTCATGACCTCTAGGCATGTACAATTTTACCAAAAAGTTATTAGGTCCAATGTTTTGGTCTTGTAAATATATTCTGCCACTAGGAGGCAGCAGCCCACTATTTTAACATCAGTTTTGGCTATACATGCTCTTATGATGAGTTGGATTCAGGGCAGCTTTTCGTTTAAACACTAGGCGACTGACCATCTTACACACTGGCAAATGTATTATGTGTCTGAAGTTTACATGTGGATATACACATAAAAAAATTAAGTCTAAATACATATAGTAGTTTCCAAATTATTATTACTTCTCTATATCTTGCACAGCTTTATTCTTTGCTTTCATTTCATTTGACAGTATTTTGTTCTTCTCATTAATTTCTTTGGTATCTTCATGAATCTTTTCCTTCTGCATCTCCATTTCAGTAATTCGTTTCTGCAAATCATAGCTACAGACAAAAAATAGATATCCTAAAATGACATTTTAAAAACTGTACAACTGTTTCAGTAAAATAAAACAACATCACCTAGGGCTATGACACCTCCCAAGTGTAAAGCTAGAATTTGGGAATAAAGTAGATTGTAAATAAAATTATATATCCTATCATGTGCATTTTAAAGAATGTACAGTAGTGACCTCTTTATCCCTGTTTAGCTTTCCATGGTTTTAGTCACCTGTTGATGACTGTCTGAAAACATTTATGGTAAACTTCAGAAATAAATAATTCAGGGGCCGGGGAGATGGCTCAGTGGAATAAGCGCTTCCTTGGCAAGTGCAAGGGCCTGAGTTCAATCCCCGGTTCCGCAAAAAAAAAAAAAAAAAAAAATCATTAGCTTTAAATCAGACACTATTCTGGTCTACAGTCACCTTTGCTCAGTTCCCATACTGTATACACTCACTATCATTAGTCACTCCATGAGGCAAAGGAGGAGCCAGGGGATAAAACATGTAGAGAAAATTAACTCGGTACTATTGACCCTGATGCAGGGCATATAGGTAGTAGTCTACATAATGTTTTCGTACCACCCATAGTTTTACATATGTACTAGGGGTGTTGGAAGATTATCTAATTCTTTATCTGAGGGGACTACTGTGTATGTAGAAATATTAATAAATTTTTGTGAAACCTCTTACCAATATAAAGCAGGATTTATTTTATAAAGCAGGATATTAAATTATCACTACTGACAATCTAATCCCAATTCAGTGAATTTATCACACTTCAGAATTTGTATCAGTCTTCACATTATTATATAAAAAGGGGCTTTAATTACATAGAAAGATACATCTTATAAATTAAGGTACTTACATGTAATACTGACAAACATGATTTTTTTTCCTAAATATTTCATTTTCCAAGGCAAGAAATTCAATGGCTATGTTTTTCTCTCCTTCTAAGGCATCCTTTTCTTTTTCCACCATTTTAACTCTGTTTAACTACAAAATTTAAAAATTTAAAGGTCAAATATATTCTTTAGATTCAATCTGAATCTAAACTATGCCAATTTTAAAAACTGTATTAACAAAGAACATGTCCATCTTAAATGTTATAAGAACAGAAATCTAAAATAGCAAAAATTTCAATTAAAAACCATTATATGACAATTTGACTAAGTAAAATTTTTAAATTCATAAACATTCTGCTTTATAATAAAACTATAATACAGATTTACCTTTTCTCCTCTGTGTTCATTCAGTATTTCAACTCTTCGACACAGGACTTTAATAGGTTCATTTAGTCGTCCACAACCAATTATATCTTCTAAATATTCGAGCATGCCCTCATCATGTTCAGTCTGGCCTTTTGGTTTCATCATAGCTATTTGTTCAACTTCACCCTTAAAAGAAAGTCGTATTTCACATTCACTGTATATGTTTGAATCAATTGTAAGAGAGAACTAGGGACAGTCAAACAGAAATGAAGACTTAATGTTTACCAAGTAACTTAAAAAGATTTAAATGAGTAAGGAATCTGTACTATACTTATATACCCTTACACGATTCTTGTAAAATTCCAACACAGACCCACTTATATACACAAAGCTAAAAGTTCTCCATCTAGAACGTTTGGAACATGTACTACAGGAAACTTTTGCTCTCAATCCTCTGAACTCCAATTAAAACTTTAGATTAGTATTTGTATATTTGCAGTTCAACTACAAAGACAAAACAAAAACCTATAATCAGTCAAGGTTCACTGTTAGGGTGCTATTTATTTTAATTGTGAAGAAAATTTTGTCTGAACATGTCAAGACAAAAAGCTTTTACTTTTATTTCATAGATGTGTCCTACTTAAAACTTTACCAACTATTACAACAAAAGGAAAGACACAGGTAGGCAATTGGGCAAAAATACATCTCTTATTTTCAGCAAAATTGTCAAGAAAGGCAAGAAAACCAATTACTCATTAAAATATTTTAGCAATCTTCATTATTTTAGTGTCTGATTCAACCTTCAAAATTTGAGATAAGGGGCCGGGGAGATGGCTCAGTGGAATAAGCGCTTCCCTGGCAAGTGCAAGGGTCTGAGTTCAATCCCTGGTTCTGCCAAAAAAAAAAAAAAAAAAAAAAAAAAAAAAATCGAGATAAAATTTGTTACTGATAAAAGGTGTAATATTTAAATAAACATCCAAATAATTTGTTTTCTATTGATGTAAAATAATTAAAGGCGACACAACTCATTTTGAAATCTTCTCAATGTCAGGCGGTAAATGTCAATAGCTTAATAGGTCATTACTTTTTACTACTCACACACTTATTTAGCACCATTAAGTATAAACTGAAATTCATATCCTAAAGGTCTGTTATTTATTTTCCATAAGATTCAGTACCTTACGTACAAATCAGTACATAAACTAAATGGAGATACTTATGTGAACTGTCTCATTCTTTGTCAGTTTTTCCCAAATGTTTGCAACAACAACTAAGTTTTAGACAGAATTTAAGCCTGGAAGAATGCTCAAAACTTTGTATTAGAACAGGATGAATTTAGTCACTGAAAAAAACTAGCATTTGTTTTGAAGTTTTTATTTAGGTAAAGTTTATCAATAGTGGCACTATACAAATGCTTAAGAGCATCTCTGCTCTATTTTTACTATATGATACTAGCATTCCTCTCTATCAGCTATAACAAACCAAAATGTCTCCAGCTGGGAGAGGGGTACAGAACTGTTCCTAATTGAGAACCACTCATCCAGAGGCTGTCATTTAAAACTTTTGATTTGGCAAAATGATATCTGACAATCAATATTTTAATATAGTACCTATTAAGGTGAATATTTGAATACCTTTTAAAAGATAAATGAAAAATCATGTCAAAAGTATTTACATCAAGTGGCCATAAGGTATTACTTAAACCCACATTTTTTTTGATAACCAAAACCTGGGATCCAGTGTATAGTTTATACAGATTAAAAACACTCCTAACAGTATCACATGTTTCTTGGCCACATTACTTCTTGAATAAATGGTGTACAGCTATTAGGCAACAGCCTAGCTTTAGCCAAAGCAGAGTAGTTGCTTGTTTTGGTTATTTGTTCCTTTCTCCCCAAATAAGATGAAGGACATACAGCTCATTTCCTCTCAAATAACTGTCCAGTTTTAAACACTAAAAAGCAAATTTATTTATGAATCAAAACAGCTATATCTCCAGTCCCACATAACGTTCAGTTTTAGATGTATTATACTGTACTATGTTTTTTCAAACCAATTGCTATATTCTGCTCAGCACTACTAATTTGACAGGGCGTGAACATTTATTTAGCCCATACCTACTTGACTTTTGACTATCATGACTTCTACGGCTTTCCAATGAAAACCAAGGACTTTTCTCGCAGTTCTGCTCCTCAGTGTTCTCTATGAGCTCTACTACATGTTACCTTTTGCATCCCAATCCTTTATCCCCATTTTGTGTTATTTACTACATAGTCTGTGGGTTGAACAGCCTATGATTAGAGGATGATTTACTTCTTGAAAATTTACCAACTCTGAATTTTTAAGTTTTCATTTAGGGCAATAATGCAGTACACTTCAAAATAATTTAAAAGCACCAATCTGAATTTATCAGTTACCCATCCACATCAAGGCTCCAAATCACAAATAGTGGTAGCACAAAAACACACAAGTGTTCCAGTTCGTTATGATGTTAGTATCTGAAACTGGCAAAATTTTATAGTACCTCACGTTATTATCTCCACTTTCTGAAGTTTTCAAAATAGCAAGATTTTAAACACTTGTTTTCTCAGTTATGAATATGCCAGAGGCTTGGCTATGGATGGACCTCAGTGGCAAAGTGACTGACAAGCTACGTGTGAGGCCCTGGGTTTGACCATTAGCATCACACAAGGCCTTAAATTTTGATTTCTTGAAGGCTTTGTTGGGTGGCAAACAAGGATTATGATTTTATACCAGGGATGGCAAAATAGTTTTCAGTGATAAAATCAGCCTGTTGAAGCATGCATGCCACTGATAACATTCTTTTTTTTTTGGTACCAGGGACTGAACTTGGGACTTGTACTTGACAGGCAGGCACTTACTCCACTGAGCTATCTCCCCAGCCCAATACCATTCTTTGATAACCAAGAGGGAGGATGTCTCATATCTTTTTAAAAATATAATAAAAATTTTAACATATAGAAAACTCAAATAGTACAGTTATAAAACTTAAACATGGGTATCTATAGCAAAATTAAACGGCCCAGAATTGGGCTTTGAATTTTTATTTTGCTTATAATTTTTTTTTTCCATTTTAACTGCACTATAAAGTATTAACTTGCTCTTTATCTTCTAACATATTTTATTCTAATTTGGTCTTTAGTAGGCTAAGAAACAGAATCACTAAGGTTAAATTCTATTTAAGAGGTACACAAATAGAAAGAATGCTTTTGTAGTTGGGAGTTCACATGTGGATGCTCAGAGGCAGCATCCTATATTCTCTTTTTCATTGTTGAGGTACCGAGGTACAGATTACTGATAAGGCTGAGACATTTCTTTTGCTATTATAGCAACAGACTTACTTCCACTATCCAAGACTAGATGGAACCTCAAGAGCTTAAATACCATGTGAACCTTAGGACAAGTATATTGGAAAAAAAGGTGGTAATTAACTCAGATCTAGGTTTAATCTCTAAAATTGAAAACTTAGATCTTGTAAACAAAAAGCTGAAAACTTAGACAAAATTAAAGTTGTGCTAATGGCTGTGACCTTTTTGTGGGAAAGGGTTCCTAAAGATTGAACATCAGCACTGAGCTATATCCCCAATCCTTTTTTGAGACAAGACCTCAACTAAGTTGCCCAGGCTAACCTCAAATTTTGATATTCTTGTCTGAGCCTGAGTAGGTGCCGGGATTATAGTCCTGTGCAACTATATCAAGTCAAAATCTAGTATTTTTTGAGGGCATGCCTTAAGGATAAAAAATTTTAACCATCTCTATATTACTTATAGCATCTTTGCATAGTGCCTTATTAGAAACTCACATGAATGGTAGACTAATAAAAATTTTAAATACTAAAAGTGCTTACTTAAAAAACCTACTAAGGTATATGAACACTACAATTTTTTTTTTTTTAATCTTCATGAACTTCTAAAATTTAGTGCTTTTAATCTTAAAAATAAAACTACTTTTACTAAATTTAGATTACTTAGGATGTGTTAACCACTATCACAGTCTGAATAGCCTATACATTTTATCTAATCATTTACATCTTGGTAACACTATGATGTCTCCACTTTTACAGCCTCCAAAGTCATGGGTAGTTTTAATGAAAAGTCAGTAGAAGACAATGCAATAAATACCACAATTTTACTTACCTTCAAATGCTTTACAGAATCTAAAATTTTGATAAAGAGCTAAAAACAAAACAAAAATCCCCATAAAAACCACTCCCTTGGTCCCTCAAATTTAAATAGTACATCGTTAGTTCTAACTAGTCTAATCCTATTTTTTTCTTCTAACAGCTGAGTTACTAAGATTCTTAACTGCTAATTTAATCATGTCAAATTCAATCTGTTAACTTGAAAGTGTTAGCTTGGTATTACTCATGAATAATATTTCAAAATAATTTAATCAAGAGCACAGAAAAGGTTCGTATTATTGTGAGGACAAATCTATCCTAGATTTTTCAGAAGTATATATTTTTAAAAATGTGACAACTCATAAATTATTTACTTCTTTGGGAAATTATTACATTAACCTTCTTTGGCAACTGAATATTTTATAAAGCTGAATGAAAAAAAAATTATCCTTAAAAAGAGATAATATACAATCTCTTTTGCCAAGCCTTTGCACAGGCTTGATAAACTCTTGATTATTCCAGGATGACAGTAAAGAGACAGCAAAGAATAAACAGAAACTATCAGGAAGCCCAAGTCAGGAATTGTTGTGAGTTAGAGGCCAGCCTGAACTGCATAGTGAAACACTGTCTCAAAGAAAGCAAAAAAAAAAAAAAAAAGCAGAAGATAAGCACAAGTATAACTTTTTGTGAAAAAGTACTAATAAATTGAACAGTATAAAGGATATTTATCAATAATCAATTCTCATAGTCCATAAAACAGTTCAACTTGATTTAAAGACAAATCCCACAAAGCTATACTTCCACATTTAGATAAATTCAAATCTCGTTTAGAAATGTATCTGCAACTGATTTCCTAACATTCATTTTTAAACAAATTAGGGTCATAGAAGTATAACAAATACATAGGATCTGGTAATAAAGGACACTGAGTAAAGTTTCCAGGAATATTATTGATTTGCCTTGAATATTATATACTATATGTCTAAAAGGAACATTTAAAAAAATAGTTGAAAAATACAGACTAAATTGGAAATATCTGCTAGTATTTCTAAGTTTGTTAATGGAAAAGTCATCCCAAGACAACAGTGTCAGTTTAATATTTTCTATTTTAAAATCAGTAGCATAAGATAGGAATTTCTGCTGAAGAAAACAGTTTTACTTCTCTTACTAAGCTCTTAGGTGACTCTGGACAGGCAACAAGAATAAGCAGCAGCCCTCAAATCCAACAGTAACTTAAAAATATCTGAAAATGCTAGTTTTACAATAAAAAATTTTTTTTTAAAAAGCCAAGACACAGGGATGAAAAGAGGAATTTTTCTTATAAAGCAATGCTGATAGAACATACCCTTACTTTAAATGCAACATCTACTCAAAATCAGCTTAATGCTGGGGATTTAATTTTTTATACTTAAAAAAAAAAACTTGTTCTTTAATAAGAGTTAAATAATACTTAATGTTACACCAGTTATTTTCCACCCTATCAACAGTAGTGGCTCAAAAGTCTTCTAAACAGGGCCGGGGAGATGGCTCAGTAGAATAAGCGCTTCCCTGGCAAGCCCAAGGGCCTGAGTTCAGTCCCTAGTTCCACAAACACAAAAAAAAGTCTTCTAAACAGAACAAAAACCAATTTAAAGAGTAAGCTTTAATTATTTTAGGTGTTACAAGATTAAATAAAATTAGGTATTGAAAATTTGTCAAACATCAAGTATACATATTTCATTTTCTTTTTTATTATTAAAAAAAATAAAACAAAAAGAGCAGGCTATTAAAAGATAATGAATCTCATTTAAAATTTTATCTTAAAGGGAAATACAAACAGAAATGATAAATAGTTGCTATATCCCTGTCACACTAAAGCAGCACAATAATATTGGTGTTTAATATTTATTTCACTACGCCAATATTTACGTGCTGCTAGAGTGGAACAAGTATGTCAGTCCATCCAAATGAACATACAATGATGAAAGTAAAGGTTTGAATGAATTTCCTTAAATTTCTAGAGCAGCATATAATGATTCGCATCTTGACTAAAGCATGTAAATCATGATGTGCTGCTAGAGTACTTTAAGGCCTCAAAAATACAGGATCCATCCATCAGGAAAACCCCCGATCTATCATTATTGGGGGAAACAAAACAAAACAAAACAACCCCCAAGAGTTTTAGAGTCTACAGTTTTTAATAAATTTACCTGCAATATTAAAAATCTATTATGGTCCAAGTCAATTCCATGGCTTCGAAGAAGGTTCCCAACATCCTTAAAAGTTGATTTCTTCCCACTTATGTGATAGACAGAAGTATTATCTCTGTACGCTGTTCTGGATACACAGAAGTTACTGTTAGCAATGACTTCATAATCACCCCCTTCCTGTTTTGAGGAAAAGTAAAACAAAAAAACAACTGTTGGTATTAAGTCACTGTTCTGCTTCAAATTTCACTCATTTCATACTGCAACTAGCTCTATGGATTAAATACTTAAATTGAACACACACAAAAACTGTTGGAAGTTTTCAAAAATAACCTTCTTTAGCACATAATAGATACTTTTTGAGTTGTTTTGCGTGCTTTCTCAAAGATTTCCAAACTCCTAAAGACAAATCAAGCAAACAAAAACTTCAGCTTCAAACATATTGGGACTGATAAGAACCAGAGTCCCACTATAGCCAAGATAAACCCATTCAAATTAATAACCATGTTGGTAGACCAATTACCATTCCACTTAAAAAGCCACAGAATGAGGTAATACAAAGAAAAAGCAAGATTATGTTGGGATGAGTTTTGGTGGTGGTGGAGGACATGCCATTACTTGAAGTAAAAAGAATTATAAAAAACTCATGACTACATTCTCTGAAATAAAAATCTCATTTACTGGCATCTATATTTAAATCCAAACTGTGGAATAAAACACATTAAGCAAAACTGAAATACATGGTTTGATGTAATCAATGCTCTTTGTATTAAAAAAAAGGAACAAAAAAAATCCCAGAAACGTTACCTGCAGTTAGTTTTTTTTTCTAGGTTCTTTTCAGTCATTTTTGAACCATTTCCTAAGTTAATCATTAAATACATGAGAAACTCCCTAAATAATACCAAAAGAACCACAGAACTAAATACTAAACAATCTAAATAAGACATTTTACCTTTAAGTGCCTCTATCTCTAAAAAACGTTAGTTTACCTTTCTCTCATTTCAAAAGTGCTTAATTATAGTAGTTGAAATGAAAGAAAAGTTCTTTCATATCACAGACATACAGGACCACTAATAATAAATTTAATGTGCACTGGAATAATGGGAAAAAATCAGTTGACCACTAGACTTTCAGTTTACATAATTTTTCTAAAGCAATAAAATATAACTTTAAAAATGAACTCAAATTTATAGCAAAAGACTAACTGGCACTGAGGATTCTTAATCTGCTCAATGTTTTATTCCAAAGGTAATATGAGATAATTTTTCTAAAATTTTTAATGTTTTGTTTCAGACACCACTGCTGCCACAAAAAAATAGTAATGAAATCATAATCTCTTTGCTTAAAAAGCTGATTTAAACTAACAATGATAAAGTATGTAATGTACTGTAGTCTTTTGCTGTTCTTACTTGATGTTATACTATGTAAATACATAAAATCCCCTTACCTTATCAATTATCTTTTGAAAATGAACTTCTACAGTACAACTCGGAATATCCTTGTGTTCATCAGAATTATGTATTAGCACTGACAGTTTTTTAGATCTTATTTTTTGTGCTCGATAGCCAAACACAAAAAGCATAGAATCAATAACATTGGATTTGCCACTGCCATTTGGTCCAATAATACAGGAAAAGCGCTGCATAAAAAACAAACAAAAATTAAATGGTCATAATACATTACCAATTTTAATTTAAACTGCTTGTTTTTTTACTTGTAGTAAAAACTACAAGCACTTAAAATTTTTCACTGTTAAGACACATCACCTTGAGTTTTGTCATATCAAAATCTCGGTTTTGCAATCTCCAGTGCTTTAAAATCATGTCCTAGTTCGAATCCAGACTTAATAAAAGTCATTCTATAGCTAAAGTGGAAACACTGTTTTCAAACAAAACATTCAACATGAAAACTTTATAAAAAGGTACCAAAGGTAGCAATTTTAATTGTTACAATTCATTGTGTGTAGGATAAGTTATAAATTCGAAACCGTGTAATAAAGATGTATTAACTTACAAAAAGGTTATTGAAATACCTTATGGAAAGGTCCCAGAATTTTTTCTCCCGCATAGGACTTGAAGTTCTGGTTTACAATATGAGTTATCATGAGCCGAGGAGCTCCAGCTTCATTTGTCATTGCAGGAGGTGGGGGTGGAGGAATACTATTCAAAATCTCTTCTAAACTTCGGTTATCAATTTGCTCACCTGGAGTCTCTAAGTCAGTCAAAGGAAAAGGAAGGGAAGGGAAGGGAGAAAAAACCTGTTAGTAGTTTGGAAGACTAATGCCTACTAATATTTAAAATATAGAATAGAGCAATGTTACTTTAGAAGCCTAGAAACCTCTTATTTTCCATACAAATACAAAATTCTCCTAAACTGACGAATGCTAATCTTTCAGTATAGTTTTACTAAAAATAGAAATTCTTACAAGAAATGTCACCAGTCATAAAATCCATAGAATTAAAGTATATACTTAGGAATCAAAACACTAGATCATAAAGTAGATCTGAGAAGAAAATAAACCGATTCCTTGCTTCCTATCTCAATCAGGAGATTAAAGCCTGAAGTCCTAAATCAGATCTAGAACTCCGTATATTTCAGCACTTGAAAAACGCGCTTCAAGGATACTGTCACAGGAGTTTCATAATGCCTATTTTTCAATTCCTAGACTCAAAAAGGCACAGATATTTTCAAATAAATTATCACATCTTTAAGGTCAACCTAAGACCACGAAGGTGAAGTTAGGATCCCGCAACTTTTCAGGTTCAGTTACAGTACTCTGCATCTGGGAGAAGAAAGCTCACTAATTCTTGGCTAATAATGACTTCGGCGAAAATTCAGTAAATACCATATCAGTCACCTTCCAAAACGCGACAAATTCACAAGTGCACCTCCGCAAGTCCTCATCCTCCCCAGCACTGTTACCCCGAAACCGAACGCGAATCCTCTCTCTGAAAGTCGTCGAGTGGCTTTCCACAGCTGCTCTACCGGAGACCCTGGACTTTCAAAGTCAACCCTGCATCTTTCGCCCGCGCCCCACCGACCCCCGCCAGCCTCGGGGCTGCTCGCCGACGCGCCCGGTGCCCCGAGCCGCGGCGGGTCACTCACCTGCGGCAGCGGCTGGGCTATCGGCGCGGCCGGCCGGCGGCTCCGGTTCCGCGTCGCTGCTGGCAGCATCTAGGGACGGCGGCGTCCCCTTGTCCCTGCGGCGGGCAGTGGTGGGCTGGGTGCCCTTTCGGGGCATGGTCGCTGACCAGGGGAGAGCGGAGAGTAAGTCAGCCACACTTCCCCGCCGGACTCCGCCTCAGGCCGGCCTCGGTGCCGCACCGGACTCCGCGCCGCCCGACCCCTCGGAAGACCTCGCCCACCCGTTCCCGAGAGCCCCATCTCCAAACTCCACTCCTGGCTTCAGATTCTCAGGAAAGAGCAAAAAAACCCAAAAACTAAAAAACAACCCCCCCAACCTAAAAAACCAACACCCAGGAGCGAGAAGGCGGGACCGGCGGCTTACTCCTAGACCTACCGAGTGAGAAACCTAACCTCCCCGGGAACCCACCCAGGACGCGGGCAGTAGCGGATCTCGCTAGGAGGCCGTCCGCCCGCAACCCGGCGCGTAAGAGCAACTCTAAAGCAAGTAACTCCCGTCGGCGGACATCTGCTGACATTCGCACGCGCTCGGCGGGGGATGCGGCCGGAGCGGCCAGCGACTCCGGAGGAGTAAAAACGATCGCCGCCCGCCCTCCTCCCCCGCCGGGTGGCTCCCGGGGCCCGGACGGCCCGGGGCACGGTCTCCGCTCCAGTCCAGGCGGGAGCAGGGCAGAAGCCGGGGCCGTCGACCGGCCGCTCCGCTTCGGACACCCGCAGCGCCGGGTCGGGTTCTATCGCTCAGGGCGGCAGGGGTTCGTCTCCCGGAACCCGGGGCGGAGGCCCTCCGGACAGCGAACCACAAAAAGTCGCCAGGCAAGGCTCAGACCTGGGGACGAGAACCTCGGGAGACCAGGCTTTGCCTCCCCACCGCGCCAGAGACCAGGGTTTTTGAGAAGCGGTCCTGAGGATTGCTGCCTCCCGGAGAAACGCGTAAGCAGCGGGAGGAAGAGGCGCCGGGGAGGCGCGCAGGAGCCCCCGCGGGGGGGAGGGGTGACAGCGAGAGAACCTCCGCACAGCCCCCGCCCAGACTTGGCTGCTCCGGCGGACACGGCAGTTAATAGAGTGACAGCCTGATCAGGAAAAGAAGTACTTTACCTGCTGGGCAGTCCGCTCAGACCGCGGCTGGGAACGGCAGGATAGGCCCACCCCCGCCCCGCTCCTACCGGTGTTTCGGCTCCGGGTCCTTCACTCGAAAATGGCGCCTAAAATACAAACTCGAACGGAAATTCGTTACAAATGCGCGCAATGATTTCTGGGATCCACTAATTTAAAATAAAGTGCGGCGATTACTACCGCCATCTTTTGGTTGCTCGCGCGCATGCGCCAACTCATGGCGGGCTCCAGGCAGGAGGGGAAGTTTCTTTTAAGTGCAAAAAGAGAAAAGTGAGGAATGCTTTCTCTGTGACCGAAGCATAAGCATTTGTACAGCAACTACAGAGTTTGCAAAAACATTCTGGCGAATTTTGAAAAAAAGGAAAAAAGGAAAGGAGGACAGTGTCGCCAACAGCTGGAGGTGGAGCCCAATTATCCAATGACGCCCCTTAAAGAGAGGGCGGGCTCGATTAGGGGCGGGGGCCAGGCCCGCGGCGTTGACGTGAACTTGGGAAGTATCGCGGGAAGAGGTAGTTGCGGCGCCCCGCTTAGGAATCGCTATGGTAACGGGAAGGTCTGGAAGCTTCTTGACTGGTCGCAGGTCTATGTACAGTCACCCCTGCTTTTCTGGAACTTGAGGTAAGTCTCTTCACCTACTAAGGGTTTGGGAAGGGGGTCGGAAGTTGTAGCCTTTGCAGGATTCTACTATCTTTTGCTTTGAGAGTGTGTACTTAGTGGAGCATCAGGTATTTTCCGTTTTCCTGAGGACCTTAGGGCTCTAGAGGTAGCTTTTGGGATGCGACTGAGGAAAGCTAGAGTTTGAAGAGAGGAGAGGCCAAACTAGAAGATTGGGCTTAATGAATGATTGTGTAGTTCACGTGTCGATAGCAACATTTCGGTATTCGAGTTGTTAGATGTGTTATTAATTGGAAGGGAATTTTGGGCTTTTAACATCCTTTGACTAAAGCATAACTATTTTGTAAGGGAATTATGGGTTAGCCAATATCTAAGTCTCTTTTTTACACATTGTACTGCTCAGGACATACAATAAGGATTATTTGGCAAGCACTGTAGTGAAAGTTCCTGTCCCAGAGTATTTAGTTTTGTTAGTGGGTTCTTAATTGAGTCTATGGAACTGGTGGTAGGTGACTGCGTTTTAGAGCTCATAACTCTCCTGGAAATCATACACAGATCTGGTTCATGTGTGCATTTTGCTGGAGGGTAGGTTTTCCCACAGTTTTCAAATCTTTAAATTTGGTCCTAATCCCTCAAAATATTAATCCCTCAAAATGTTAAAGAACCATTAGTTGATTTGACTACCTTCAGTATGTATTGACAACACTTACTTTTAGAACTGGTAGCCTCTTTTTTTTTAAGTTAGGACTTGGCATATTAGAATACCAATAAATCTCTGAATTAATTTTACATTGTTGCCCTAAATATACTGTTGTTTTTGCACGGAGGAGCACAGAATTAGGTTCACTGATTATCAGAAAAGGATGGAGGGAGACTGTTATGGTACGCTTAAGAATTGACTGATATAGGGGCCCGGGAGATGGCTCAGTAGGATAAGCACTTGATTGGCAAACGCAAGGATCTGAGTTCAATCCCCGGTTCTGCAAAAAATCAAACCAAAACAAAAAAAAAGAATTGACTGATATATACCTTTGTATTTGCTGCTGAAAAAATTGTTTTTCTAAAATAAATTACAGAAAACAAAAAAAATATTTTTTTGGCTGTCAAGATACTATAGGTATTCTCTTCGAGGACTTCTAGAATCTTTTTTATTTTTAAAGGGTGTAAAACACAAAACCTGAGCAGAAAGAGATATCAACTGTGGGGAGGGGGAGCCAAAAAACCATTGTAGCCCAAAATTGAGTGATATATATGAGTACAAATGGTAGAAAAATATAAGTAGAAAAATGTAGAATCTGTATAATTGGGCAGTTTACTCAATATATCATTTTGCCTGAGAGGATTTATTTATAAAACTGGCATATAATATGTACCTCATAAGATTGTTTATAATTATTCGTTTAGCACATATAAGCATTTGGTGTTCCTGCGTTTGTAACATTAACATTATAAGTGCTAAGGATGAGTAATGGGATGCCAAGTTAGAGGAAGGATAGCCGATGAAGGATTATGAAAATTAAGTTAAAGATATTACCTGCAAAATACAACTATCAGAAAAATTTTGACATGAGAATGGGTTTGGTAAAAATAGGAAAAATAGTTAATGTGTAATGTGTGAAAGGGAAAAAAGATAAATCCACAGCATTAGTTATTTACTGTGTTCTTGAATGTGGGAAACAAGAAATGCCTATCTGGCAGAAAGGGAAAACATTGAAGTCATTTTGGGGGAAAATTTTATAGCTTTTGATAGTAAGAATATACACCCTTGAACTTAGTCAGGTACTATTCTTCATGAATACTTGAATTAGTGACCAGGGGATAAAAACAATGTAACTCAAAGAGAAATATATCCTAGTTTTTACTGCCTTGCCGAGTTACTGTCAGTATGAAAGGTCTTAAATGATGTGATGTAAAAGAAACAGAATTTTAATAAATCAACTGGCAGATGACCTTTAATTTGATTGAACCTGACCCCCTCACTCACAACATACTATATAT